ACTGCTTCAGTTGTGCTCGGCGCAGCAGCGAAATGCCGCAAGCGCCATGGCAAGCCACGGAAGGCTCCCAAGGCGCGAAAGGCTGCATCGGCGCAGAAGCCTCCAAAGGCACCAAAGGCTCCAAAGGCTCAGAAGGCTGAAGGCATGTCAGCTTTGGCAAAGCGTTGGCAGAAAGTCTTGAGACCGCAGGCAGCAAAGAAGTGCTCGAGGAAGGGTGCCACGGCCACATTGGCGTCCCGTCTTGCCCATCGCTGGGCAAAGTAGTAGTCATTAATTCGTCATATTATGACGGAGAATGGCATGCGTTTTCTAATTTGGCCACTCGGAGTTGGCATCATAGACTGACTTAGGTGAGGCCGGGTGCAAAATTCGGGAAAGCCTGCTCCGAGCAGTACAGATTATTTGGACTGGGTCACCCTGCCGACTCCCAGTGAAACAAACCGCCGCAGTGTGCATAGGAGTTCGCAGTGTTGTGCCATTCGGGCTGCTTGACTCGGGGTAATACCCTCACGTCTGCCAGGCAGCTGCTCGCTGTCGGATCGAACGGGAAGCTGGAGGCGCGGTTCTCGGGTTAGTCGGAGTCGGTTGGACCAGTTGCAGAGTCTGATTCAGTTCCAGTCTTAGCACGGTTGCCACGGTTGCGTTTGCTTGTCATCGTAAGTGCTGCGCGGTCGCTTCAGGCTCCCAGGCTCAAGGCTCCAAGGCCCCCAGGATTTCAATGCCAGTGGGTAGCCGCACCCTGCGTGGTCTTGCCGCTCGGTTCGGACTACGCTCCCGGAAGCAGGACCGGACGCCGGCAAAAAAAAGACGAGGTCCACAAGGATCCGTGCCTGCGGCCCCGAAGAAGCTTCGGCTCGAGTCCGGCGAAGGCCTGGCTCAGGAGGGCGACGACGACACCGGAAAGGGATGTGGCGATGTTGGTCTCGCGACTGAGAGCGATGCAGAGCATTTGGCTCGCCATCGTGGTGGCGACGAGAAATGCAGCCGATGCAAGCTGCCCGGTTCAGAAACCCTAATTTTAATTTAAATTATTATTTAATTTATTATTTAATTTTAATATTTAAAGAAATTTAAATCATAAATGGTCTTATTATTAATAGGGTTTCTGAACCGGGCAACTAGACATACTACATACATACATACTTACATGCCTGCCATGCATGCATACACATTACATGTCAATCTATTTTTTCATTTTGGTTATTTATCATCTTGCTGTCGTGTTTCTCTCTCTCTCTCTCTCTCTCGGTGGCTCTCTCTCTCTCTCTCTCTCTCTCTCTCTCCGTCGCTCTCTCTCTCTCTCTCTCTCTGTCTCTCTCTCTCTCTCTCTCTCTCTCGTTCTCTCTCTATCTCTCTCGCTCTCTCTCTCTCACTCTCTCTCTCTCTCTCTCTCTCTCTCTCTCTCTCTCTCGTGCTCTCCGTCTCTCTCTCTCTCTCTTTCTCTCTTTTCTCTCTCTCTCTCTCTCTCTCTCTCTCTCTCTCTCTCTCTCTCTCTCTCTCTCTCTCTCTCTCTCTCTCTCTCTCTATCTCTCTCTCTCTCTCTCTGTTGGATCGTTATTGTTTGTGGCAGACTTGCTACTTGACTATGTTGCAGTTGCTGGTTGGTTCTTGCTTCCGGCATTCTCGACTTGATCTCGTCCGTTTGCATACAATCCCAACATGTCAGTCAGGTTC